TGATTAAAACATGTTCGTGATTGCAGGCGTTAGCTAAACACATTGAATTGGTATCAGTATTAACATTGGTATTGAGACTGGTATGAATTTTAACAATAACAGCGTACAGAAATAATACTAATACTGAACTAACCCGGATACTAAGATTAATATCCCTACGACTCTATTTACAGTAACTTTGATCCAAGTCTGAAAGTTTATACTAATATTAGATCTATTACTGATGTCAAACTGAATACACATACTCCTCACACGAATACTCTTAGTAACAGTGATGCTAGAACTAACTTCATTTGTTTATTCATGCTACTACTAGTTCGAATATGAAACTCTATAATACTAATACAAATAAACCTGCGAATAACAAATCATAATATTAATATTGGTATGAAAGCTAATACTGTCATTAGTACAAATGCCAACATTTATACTGATATCAATATTAACATAAGTATTAATACTCCTACGAATATGAATACGCCTACTCTTATGAATGGTAGAAAACATTTCCAAGACTACCGACACTAAACACCTATAATATAAAGGCTAAGGCGAATATGCATAATACCAATACCAATATTGCCATGAAAACTCCTACGAATACCAATGACCATGTCCATATTGATATTACAAGTATACATACCATACTTGCATACACTAATGTCTATACATATACATACCATCGTGTATATATATATATATAACGCAAATATGTGAACGTATTCATGTACTAATTAGTACTGAGATATTAACACACTACCAGACCAACATATTGATTTACATATAGTTTGTTAGATTAATATACTAATATAGTCGTATACACTAATGTACTTACGTACCCCTGTACTAATATATTAATATACGAACTTACGAATATACTAATATACTGACGTAACAATATACGAATGTACTCATGCACCAACGTATAAGTATACATAAATACTACTGTACCAATGTAACAGAGGAATGATACATGAACCTGCAAACATATGAGTCTAGTAGTCTATACTGACATATCAAAACTGTTTCTAGTTTTAATGCAAATACTGGAGCTTTCGCGAATATTACCACTGACATTAATACCAGCATTAAGACTGATACTAATACTAATACGAGGACTAATTCTAACACTGACATTGCCTCCGGCAGTAACACTCATACTCGCTGATATTGATAGTAATACATATATCAAACACAAATCTTATACTAAAGCCCATACTAGTAAATACTACTGTGACGTCATATTGGTCGTATTGGCTCCAAGAATGGTAATAGTTCTTGTCCGATGCGGAGACTGGCACCATAAGGCGCGCTGGTGGCCAGTAAATAAAGGTAT